AAAATAAAATCAGTTTGAGGTTTACACTCATACGTAAAGTTACTCGCTCTGTTTTTTACTCTTATGAGCTCATTGTTATCCATATACACCTGCAACCTATATAACGGACTGTTCCTTTCTACTATTCTCCCCATTTTCAGTGTCGACCAATCTTCAAGTAGTTCCTGTTGCACGCTTTTGTATATTAAGAGCTTCGCGCGCTCAATATGTTGAACAGTCAAAATAACGTTTGTAGCATTGAAACCGCCACAACGAGCCTTTAGTTTCCCAATGTAGAGTAGCCAATTTGCAACTACACGATACAACTTGATCCAGGATGAAAAATATTCATAATTGAAACATGGTTGTGTCTCGCGATGATATAAAAATTTTGCACGAGTTTCACTGGTCTCCATCGGACCTAAGTCCTTGTAGCAAAAATTCTGGTCCTTCGACCCACCGCTGCACATATTCGGGACTTTGTTTTGTTTTCGTTGCACTGTCTGCAGTATTTAATTTCGTGGGTACCCATCTCCACTCTTCCACGGTTGATGCTTCTTGAATTTCTGCAATGTGAAACATTACGAATTGTTGAAATTGACGTGGATCACCACGCAACCACTTTAGCACCGTTTTGGAATCGCTCCAAATGAAACGCTTTTTAATATCAAATGTGTGTACTTTACATATTGTATTCATAAGCCGTGTACCAATTACAGCAGCTTGTAGCTCCATTCTTGGAATAGACATCGGTCGCATTGGAGCGACTTTGGTTTTTGCTGCTACGATCCTCGTACTTACTCCATATTTATCTTTAATGCGGAAGTATGATACAGCTGCATAAGCAAACTCACTCGCATCTACGAATGTATGAATTTGTACATCACATGAACTTTCTGTTATGTATGGTGAATAACAACGGGGTACAGAAATATTAGCAAAAATAGGCATGTAGGCAACCCAAGCTAACCACTTGCCCATAAGATCGGGTACCAGTGGTTGATCCCAGTCGATTCCGCTTCTCCAAATATCCTGAATAAGTATTTTTAAATATGATGTGAGGCAAGCTGCCAGTCCCAATGGATCAAAAATGGACATTAAAATTTGAAGTACTTCTCTTTTAGTGGGTACAATTTCATCTGCAAAAACATTACGACGTAAACGAACGAATTTTAAAACATATTTAAAGCAATCTGACTTCGGGTCCCAATACATGCCGAGAATTTTTTCGATCGGAAGTGTGTCGATATTATTATCAAACGACTTACCCGTCTGTTCACCATTTTCGTTTAACGCAGCTAAAACTTCTGGTGCATTACTTGTCCAGCTTCTCATATGGAAACCACCTTGTTCATGTATGTTGCGAACTGCCTCGGCTAATGCTATTGCTTGTTCAATGGAATTTGTTGAATCTATAAAGTCATCCACGTAATGATTGTTTTTAATAGCGTACACTGCTCTAGGATTTTTAGCTATAATTCTTTCTGCGTTCAGGTTTCGAATAAAATGCGCTATATATGGTGAACATCGCGCACCAAAGCTAACTACATTTAATTTATAAACGCAAAATGTCTCGCTGAACCATAGAAATCTCTGAGCATCAGTATCTGCTTCTTGTACTAGAATTCGATGAAACATTTCAGCAATGTCACCACAGACAGCTAATTTTGGTATACGAAAATTTAATAATATGTTTATAAGTGGTCGCAGCATATCCGGCCCCTTCAGCAAAAAATCGTTTAGTGACACTCCTTCAGCTTTGGATGCAGCATCCCAAACTAATCTATGCTTTTTCGGTTTAAGTAGTTTGCGCACAATAAAAATTGGTAAATACCAAATCTTCCCACCTCGCTCGTTAATTGCTTCTGGTGGCAACTCAGTTGCGTAGCCCTTGCTGACTAAAGTAGTGATTTGTTCCTTTAGCTTTTGACACAATTCGGGGTCCCCATGCATTTTTCGACGTAAGCACTCCGCTCGACGTAATGCCATCGGCAAGCTATTTGGCAATTCGACCGTATCGGTGTTCCATGGCAAATTGACAACGTAGCGATTTCCGCGTAACTGGCACTTGCGCATTATTTCCTCTGCTCGCTGATCCTCAACTGAAAGTAATTCTGCTTTTGGGGTAGCCACCGCGACATTCTCGTTTACTATAAATGTCTTTACTAACTCATGAAGCTCCCTATCAGCTTCTTTTCCACAGCTACATTTGTGTAGGTTTAAGTTGTTACGGGGGTTTAATTCACCACCACCAAAAACTGTCCAACCAAGACGTGTTTTCACCGCCACGGGCTCTTGCCAGCCACCCTTCCTCACCTTAAGTGCTGAAATTAAGTTTGGATTATTTACGCCGATAATCAACATGGGGACAGCATTTGTATAACTTGCTAGAGGCAAGCCATCTAAATGCGGATACCCTTGTTTTATTTTATCAGCTGCAAAAGATTCTGCTGACATGCGTAAGTTGCTTACTGTGCGGACATTTTTCAATGGGAATTTTTTAGCTTGAGGAGCATTGGCAGAAATTTGTAAGTTGAGCCTTTTTGAGTTATTTTCCTGTCGACTGATATTACCTGTCAAATTAATGCATAGCGCATCCTGGATACCATTGTTTCCCAATTCATCGGCTAGACTTGCTTCAATAAGCGTTAGTGTTGACCCATCTTCCATCAATGCATATGTGTTAATAGTCCTTCTGGTGCCATATAAAGTAACTGGAAGAATTCGGCAATATGACCAGTTTTTATTCACTGATGAATTATGGTTATTGAGTAACGCTTTGTTTGAGTATGGACTTAAACTTATTTGTTCTACTATATCCGATGAAACATTGTTAGCTGTAGAAGATATTGCTGGCGTAGATTTGTCTATCCGAGAATGCAGCATGGGGTGGTGTCGTGCATTGCAGCCATCAATGCCACACACTTTATTATTGAAACAGCGACGCCTATGCTCGCCTAAGCATTGTCAGCACAGCTTCTTTTCCTTGACAATGCGCCAGCGTTGATTGGTAGGCTCGTTCTTGAATATTTCACATTCCATTATTTTATGTCCGCCGCCACAAATGTAACACCTAACTGCCGTGGTTGTCATTTCAGCTGTCTGATGTACGTGCACTCGTCCTTCCTTTTTTAGTGGTTTATCTAAAAAAGAAGGTGTAGCTACTCTACTTGCCGCATTTGCTAAAGATGAGAGCCACGCTGAAAAATCGCGAAGTGTAGGTTCGGCTATTGATGCTGAATGTAGTGCCCATTTGAGCTTCATATCTTCAGCTAATTTACTTATTAGCTCATGTAATAAGAGTGGATTATTAAAATAACAATTCAGCTTACATGCCTCAATTGTTGCAACTACATTATTAATGTTGACTGCAAAGTCAAATAAATCGCCCAGCCTACCCCTTGGAGGCGGTAACTGACGCATTTTCTCAATTAATTTATTTAGAATAATTTCTGGTCGTCCAAAATACATACGAAGAGTGTTTATTATTTCTCCAACCATATTAGGCAACACCAACATATTGCGTACTACATCGCGCGCTTTACCAATGAGGCACCTCTGTAAGCGCATTAGACATTCATAATCGGAGAAACCTGCGATTTGCTTAGTTTGCTCGTACGCACTTATAAAAATGTGCCATTCTTCTGGATCGCCGCGGAACGTAGGCAAATCTCTCGGTATGCATTGACGCGCTGCTAGCTGAGACGGCGTAAGCGTGGGAGCGATCTGTAAGGTATAAAGAGATGGATTATTTACTAACCTTGGTGTACTCTGTAGATGAGGTTGGCCATGTGGCGAAAAGTGTTCATCAGCTACGGCTTGATGTGCATTCAGCTGAGGCCCAACTTCAGGCAAATGTGATTCCACTATACCCTCGTCGTCACTATCTGCAGTGAGGATTTTAAATTTTTCCCGCAAATAGCTCTCCCTAATCTGCAACGACTCTTCTAGTTGTTGCAACTTAAGTTGTTTTATTCGAGTAATGTTGGCGCTGGGCTGCTGCTGTTGTCTACTATGTTGAGTATCATCCTCATTGTGTTTGTGTGAGATTTAATCATCACCATCTGCATCTCCAACTTCAAGTATGGCTGCTGATGTTAAACCTTTTTGAAGAGGCAGCTCCACGTCATTATCATTTTCCATATTATAAAGATTTTTTAAGATTTTCTTGTTGCAAAAATAAGATTATAAATACACTTTCGACAATATTAAATAGCAATCTTTATTTTGAGCTTAAAAAATCTGTAACATGATTAATGATTACAGTAAAAATTTATGATTGAAAAATTAATCTAAAAATTTACTCACCTTTGTCTAGCAATCACAACAAGAAAAGAGAAAAAATGATAAACGGAAATTCACTAAATAATTTCGAAGTCTCCAAGTCAGCTGTTTGTCATGATTGCCAGACAAAGGTTTTTAAATTATTAGCAATTTTCGCCAACACTCGTTAAATGCCTACTTTTAAAGTATAACAATAATCGCACGTCCCTATACCTCCAAAACCTAAGCGCTTCATGTGATACAAATTACTCTCTCTGGAAAGAATAACAGACCGATTGCTTATCAACCACCTATACGCAAAATAGACAACTAATGGGCAAAAAGTGATATTGAAAAAGCAGAAACATTCGCTTTACATTTGGACCAGGTCTTTAAACCAAATGATAACGAAAATATGCCTAATATCATGAAACAAAGAACAAATTTTGTACAAGAGTCTTATCAATTGGAACTTCCAATTTCAAGATATACTATTAATGAAGTTAGGAATATAATAACAATGTTAAAATTAAAAAAAGCTCCTGGATACGATTTAATCACAGGCATGGCCTTGCAGCAGCTTCCACCAAAAGGATTTGTATTTCTGACTCATCAATTTAACGCTGTGATAATAAGGGGATTTATTCCGCCACAGTGGAAGATAGCGCAAATCTCAATGGAACCAATGCTTTATCTTTTATATACTGCGGATCTTCCCATTACCGATGAGAGTGTTATCGGTACATTTGCAGACGAGACAGCTTTTTTATCAGTTGACCCAATCCGTGCTTCCACCAAACTTCAAACCTGCCTTAACAATGTTGCTCTCTGGATGAAAAACTGGCATATCAAACCGAATGAATCAAAATCTGTCCAGGTAACATTTACTACAAAACGTTCTACGTGCCCGCCTATTTTAATAAACAATACTGAATTACCACAAGCTGTAGAAACAAAATACTTGGGCATACATCTGGATAGTAAGCTTACCTGGAAATCACACTCAAACCTGGCAATTATCCAGCGTTTCCAATCGAAAACATTGCGAATGATCACAAATGCACCTTGGTATATAATGAATGAACAGCTGCATAAACAATTACATGTTCGGATAATCAAGGAAGAAATAGCCAGTATTTTAAAGAATTACGCTCATCGCATATATATGCACCCAAACCCGCTGGTTACACACCTGATGTCGCCTTCCAACACTTTTACAAGGCTGAGAAGGAAAACATCGAGAGATATTTTAGATATGTATATGTAAATCACACACTTATTTTAAATATATATGGATATGTCACTGGGTATAGTCCATACGTGTCTTTCTTTTTTAGATTGTAATAATTATTATTACGATTTATTATTATATATATTACTTATTGTAATTCATACCTGTTAGATTGTAATAAAATAAATGGATTTCAAAAAAAAAAGTGTCAATTCCTTTGACATTTTCTTTCTCTTTGAAACGTTTGCTGAGGCCAACCTGGAAAGATACGAACCGTATTTTCCAAATCATTTACTGTACGGTGTGCCAGTGATTAGAACTTCCAACAGAGGACAGGCGGGTGGTGGTACACTAGGGTGGCTCAGAAAAACTAAAATGCGATTTTTGATGAGCGCACCCCCTAGGAATATGCCATTGACCAAAAAAATGATATTCCCAAAGTTTTGGATCAATAGGATTAAAAATGACGTTGCGCCACTCGAGCAAAGTTGGGTTTTCAGTACAAAAAACAGAAATTTTTCAATTCAAGGTCATTTTTTATCTTTGTTACTTGTTTCAATAGTTATTAATATATACTCATTTGATAGATAATTGAAATATCTTTTTAATAAGATACTGATGAGCAAAATCGGTTAAAAATTATGCGCAAAACACAATAAATAGTTGAGCGACTGCGCTCTGTTTTCTATTTCATACCTTTTAGCTGGCATGCACAAGTACGTAATAGGTATATGCTACGATTTAGTTAATTATTTATAAAAAATTATAATATCAAGAAAACCCTTTTTTTCAGTAATTAATATATTGTGTTTATTATGTTTTATAACATAAATCTGACAACGTGAAGGATAATTTTTATGATAATGCTCGATTACTTGCAGAACATATGTTATTGTTTTTCCTCTTCATATTTTGTCAAAATCGAATTATAATCCATCATAAGTCTAATTCCTCTTTCTATACAATCATTTATCATATGAAGTCTGGCACAGAATCCAAGTGCATCTCTATAATCTTGCGTCTCCATCCATGGCGAAGGATCGAAACTGATAAAACTATTAGATAGGCAAAAACGATCAAAAAATTTTTTATCTTTTCGGTCACGAAATCAATAAGGTTCTTTGAGGAAAATAACTTCATTAGTGGGTTCCCACTTTTTATCTAACCAGAGATAACTAGGAGCTTCGATCTGTGACCGGTAACTCTACAGTTACTATCTACGCAGATGGCTCAAAGATGTAAGGCGGTACGGGAGCAGATATCTTCTCGAAATATATGCAGATAAAACAGTGCTACCGAATCCCTGCTACTTACAGCGTGTTTCACGGCGAGATATATGCTATTGAAAAAGAGGTCAACATTAGACAACAAAGTATAATTCGTCCTTCGAATATCATTATTTTTGTAGATAGGCCGCACTGAAAGCAATTGAATCTAAATCATCAAATATTATAAGGTCTCTCTTTGCTGGACATAGTACATTTCGACATAGCAATATTGAAGGGAATGAATTAGCAGATGAGATGGCCGGAAGAGGTGCTGAACTGCATACAGGAGAGGCCGACCTCTAAATACGGTGACTATCAATTTATAAACTAACCGCGAAGACTGTAAGGTCGCTAGAATCTTATGACCTAAGTTGCTCCAACAAGTGGATTATGCAGAAGTTGCCAAGATGAAGAGGAGATAAAATCTATCAACCACTTCCTATGTCTCTGTCCAGGACTTCAAACAAGGCTACTTTAATGTCTTGGGATCCTTATTTTACTGGCTTGCAAGAGATAACGAAAGCAAGCTTATCGGATCTCCTCAACTTCATCTGGAAAATCAAATGGTTTAACAAGGATAACAAAGGTTAGCAACTCGCATCGCCTGGTAAAATTTTTTGAGAGCATCCCAATGGGCAATATATGTCTCCGAGTAGAAGTGCTGACAACTGTCAGCACGTGCCTTCCGAACATAACCTAACCTAGTGTGGGTTAAAATTTTCACACATATGCTCCATCGAGAATCTAAACTAGGAGTGATAAATTCAATCGTTCTGTCTGCGTTATCCCAATTTTGTTGATTAAAGATTCAGCTTTCATTTTGAGACAAATTTCTTCATCGAATTTATTCCAATTAAAATCAATGGAATCTTTAGCCGCTCTTGTTTTGACTACTTTTTCAATTCTACTTAATTGTCTATATAAATTATTAAGTAGAAATGTATTATTTTTATTTTTTATTTATGTTTCTTCCGTTTCTTGTAAACATTTGCGATTGCATTGTGCATGCCAGCTAAAAGCTATAAAATAGAAAACAGAGCACAGTCGCTCAACTAATTATTGTGTTTTGCGCATAATTTTTAACCGATTTTGCTCATCAGTATCTTATTAAAAAGATATTTCAA